ATATATATATACGTATGGTAAAATGGGTATATATATATACCCATTTTCATTTTTATAAAAAGGGCATATATATATATATATATATGTATATATAGAAACGACATCAAACAACAAGATGATTCATTTGTTAGAATGAAATCAAGTCAAAGAGAAGAAAGATGCATTAATGGTAATTAATGAACTCTCGTTTTACGATTCTTTTTTTTAAGGTACTGCGAGAAACGTAATTGGTAATTTCATTCTCCTTTTTCGTATTTAACTGCACTCAATTCCCGTGGCTCTGCTTAAGAAAGTTGAGTGGGGTCAGTACATTGTCGATTACTACGCGCGCACGTTCTACACGCGTATTACGATGCTCTCACATTCTACTTTCTCCCCTCGCTTAGAAAGATTACGATGTCAGATTATACACACGTTACGATAAGAGAAAAGGCACCTCGGATGCGCAAGAGACGTACAATGAAGATAAATAAAATGAATTATCACGGCTTGACAACTCGTAGAAAAGAAACAAAGGAAGAATAAAAGGAAACCCCTAATTGTCGCGCTCGCTCGTGCGCCCGTCTTACTTAACATGATTAATAGTCGTTTGTTTTTCTCGTGCAATCGTTACAAAGGTGGTGCATAAACTTCGTCCATTTTCATCATACATATATAAAATCGGGTTTCATATTTTCTATCACATTACAAAGTCTGGAACGACGATGTGGCACAGATATACAACTCGTACCGAGCCAAGAATATAATATCTCTCGTACCCGTACCGGCTGGACTGTAATTAGTTCTCATTCTTAGTTTGTCTCTCCCCTTCCGTCTCCTTTCATTCCTTCCCCTCCCACTCCCCCGTTTCCCCTCTTCACGTGTCTGAACGACACGTCGAATAGACGGATTGCAATTTATTTTAATGACAAGAATACGGCAGTACTACATAAGGAAATCGTTCTGCGGATCGAAACAGCTCGGGTTTATGTAGCTCAACAGATCATGCTCCAACATTGAAGTCAGTTCTTGCGGCAACATGCCGTCTTCCTGTTTTCTCACGGCCGTCCCGTTCGTATTGTTCGCCGTATTTGTTATAGGTGGGTTCACGTTTTGTCTATTGGGTGTCACGGGTAAGGGAACCGGTGGCGACTTGCTTACCGTCACCTGCTCCACGATATTGTTTTGATTGGAGGGCGACTTGGGCAAGATGCCCTCCATCGCGCTGTTCATCAACTGCGCGCTCTGAGTGGCGACACTGTTCAATATATTCTTCGTTGCGATGATCGCGTGGGCGGTGGTCGTCGAGATCGGTCTATTGTTAATGATATCCTGCGTCGCGACAGTGATCACGTTATTGATCGCCTGTTCCGCGGCGTTCGTCAATCTCTGCTGCGACGGTTCCTGGGCAGCTCCGCTCGCCAGAGCGGAACTAGCCTCGGCAACGAAACCGGCCGGCTGATTCAACATAGATCCGATGTCCTGTTGAACCGCCTGTTGCATAGCTTGCGCGGCTTGCGCTTGCTGCACAGCTTGCTGAACCGCTTGAACCTGCTGCACCACCTCCTGCGTGGCCTGCTGGACTGCTTGCTGGACGACCTCTTGGGTGGCTTGCTGTACGGCCTGTTGCACAGCCGGCACAGCTTGTACCTGTTGCACCGCTTGCACTTGTTGTACTGCTTGCTGTACGACCTGCGCGTGTTGCACCACGTGCTGGACGACTTGCTGTTGAGCTTGTTGCACAGCCTGGACCGCTTGCTGCTGGGCTTGGGCGACGACCTGCTCGACTTGTTGCTGCGCCTGGGCGACGACTTGCTCGACTTGCTGGGCCTGCTGCATCGCCACGACGTCTTGCTGAGTGAGACCGATCTGCGGTATGTGCTCGGTCGTCGTGGTCATACTCTCGTCCGTGACTTGTAACGGGTTGTGAGACGGAACGGTGACGGTAGAGTTAGGCGTGCCAGTCGCGGTGACAGGCGTTTCCTGCATCGCGGGCATAAGAGCGGCGTTGATCGTCGTGAGTAAACTGTCGCCGTTCGATTGCTCTTGGACTACCGACCCGGGGGATGGAACGGACGTCGCACCGTTCACTGGAAGCGCCGGCACGCTTTGGGGTGGCATCAATGCTTCGAGGAGCATCGTTTTAACGGGTATCGGCGGGCTAGTTCGATTCTGTTGAGGACTGGGGATCGTCTCGTGATCGGGTACCGCCGACACGTGACTCATCATAGCGTTATTGTCCTGGTTCACGGTATGCAACGGCGACACCAACTGATGAGATTCCGCGGCGGAGTTAACGAGATTATCTAGCTTGATGCCTGGCGGCGGCGAAGCTAGAATATTGGAAGCCTGTCCTTGCTGAGGTTGCCGTCCGGTAGTGATAATGGAAGCCCGTTGCTGTATCGTGCCGACGAACCCGTTCTCTTGGTTCTCGGGGTCTTTTGACTCGATATCGTTCAAGTATTTCTCGACACTTTGTCCGCTCTGGGCAGGCAGCTGCCCGTTCGAGGCAGACGTGAAATTCGAGAGCGTGTCGAACTCCGATTGATGGTGTTTCATCCGTAGGTCAACTACACCGCCGCTCTGATGACTTCCGTTAGGACTGCCTTCTGCCGGCAATATCGGATTAGTTTCTTTGCTGATATGCTGAGGACTTAGAACTTTGACTTGAGACGATTCTGTGTGCATACCTCCGAATGTGTTCTGGTGGGTCGAAACCATCGACATCGGGTGCTGGTTTCGGATCAGATCGACCACGTCGAGAAGGTTAACAGTCTCCTGAACCGGTGAGCCGTTCGCCGTCACTGGTACCGATCTGATCATATTAGCCTGCGTCGTTTCTCTAGAGCCCTCGGTAACGAGCCCTTGCAACGGGCTGGCGCCGGACGATCCGTTCGTCGTGGGCGTCGGTATACTTTGCATGCTGTTCTCGCTAATCATACTATTTTCACTATTCTCGTCTAGGACCTCCGTTTTCAAATTATCCGGTAAAATTAATTGAAGACTCGAGGAGGATCTACGGTTTAGAAGCGGATTCGCTACCAATGCTGGTGGCGGCATCATCACGTCAGGCGATGAATTTTGGCAATTAGGATTTTGCGTGGCCCACATCATAACTGGCGTTACCTGAGAGGATGCCGTCACCGGCGGTGGGCTCGGATCGCTCTTTAGAGCTTCCGTCGTTTGTGACGACGATTGCTGCGGTTGCATCGCCGTCAAAAAATTCGTCGTTCCTGCGGCCGTCTGCGGGATCAGAGCTAAAACATCGTTGTCATTTAATGTTAAGTATATACGTAGTCGCGATCATCTATAACAAAGTAGAAATTCACTTACTGTTCGATGATACACCCGTAGCTAGGGAGACCGCAGCAGGAGACGTTGCCAGGGTGGTTTCACTGTTCGTGGTCACCAATGGAGGAGTTATAGGCTCGATCTTGCCCACGGACGGCTCGGGTGGCGTGGTCGCCGCGGTGTAAATGAAATTATGAGGCTCGCTCGTTTTCCCAGATGAAACCGCGTACAATTTCACGCTGACCGTTTCCGAGGGTGCTAGATCTTGCCGTCTGTACGCGGGGACGACGCACACTAGATGCGTCTGTTGCAGGAACTCCTTATCGGGCAACACCGTGCATTCCCAATGTGATTCCAAGCTGCTCGTCAAATTGTCGTTGTCCAATTGAAACACTACGCGAGTATCTTTAAGAAAGTTCTTTCCGAGTATGAACAATTCTAATCCGCCGGTGCACGGACACGACGTCAATGATTTCTTGCAGATCTCCGGTATGCCCGGTGGCTGAGCTGAAATTTATACGTTTATCAATACGGTTCTATCAAGGTCGATCGACTAGAAGTGTCTACCGAAGTCAGGACGACAGAGCGTCGCAGATATCAAAGTGTACTTACTACAAACGATTGGTTGAGAGCAGACTTGTAGGGTTTCGTTGGTCCCATCGGGATGAGTGATGCTCGTCCGGAAGACCATCCGACAGCGCGTCGACTTTTTCTTACTGCGTCCCTGTAGTACCCCGGCCTCCTGCGGGAATCTGTGCTCCACGTCGACGTTCCTCTCTTTCAGAATGCCCACGCAGTCGCACGTAACCATCATGTCTTTCGTCGGGTCCATATCGACCTCGATGACGATCGTCCCATCGATCTTCCGTTCGATGCAGGGCGTAGAATTTTTTCCGCTCACGCGGCAGGCTTGATAAAACATGTGTGGCGCGACGCGACCTAGATCCGTTCCGATGAAGACCTGCAGGGTGGCGGGTTTGTCGTAACCGACCAGACGGACGATCGGGAAACCGTTTCCGGTCCGATCCTTCACCGCTCCCCTTGATCCTTCCGTCTGGTAACGGGCTCTGTGCTGTTGCTCCGGCTGGCATATTATTTGTAGCTGCACCTTCCCGTCCGAGGAAGCGCTGCCTGTAAATCGTAAGAAATAACCGATTAATTTTTGTGACGGATTAAGAACTGCCTGTTTGCTGCTCCAGTGTTAAGACCGATTACATCAAGCTGTATAAACTTGAACTGAGTTTTCATCTTTATCTCTTCTCTAATTTTGCTATGAGTGCACATAAGTGATGACTGCTCGCAGGAAAAATGTGTATTAATAAATATTATTGATTCCACCGGATCTAACTTGAGAGATAGGATTGTGTAATAAGCATTGATCGTGGATGCTTCTGTTATAATTAAACTCGCAGGAATGAAAACAGGGACAGAATGAAACTGATGAAAATGGGCAGATATAATTTCGACTGCGGCAGGGAAGAACGTGTTACATAAAATCTTGTTTGACCTACATCCGATATCGCGTTTTGATATCGACGGAACCGTATCGACACGATTCACTCCGGGCCGAGGGTCGAACCGTTCCTAAATACAGCAGATAACGTATCGTAAAAGAGTGGCGAGGTGAGAGAAGATTTAACAGAATTTATTGAACTAAATAGTAATTCGATAGCGAAACACAAGAACGGCGTGACAACACGATGAGAGAAGTCATGCGAGCCGAAGGTTATCGGTTTGCATCATCCTCTAGTAAAGATCGGCCACGAAATCCGTTTTCTCTCTCGGTCTCTCTAGATTCAGATGCAAACAAGCAAATTTACTCCCCGACCAATTTATCTACGCGGCAACGCGATGCTTGCGGCTTCACTAAAAATTACAATTAACACGAGACCGAGAATTTAAACAGAAACGCGGCGCGTACCGATCCTGCTGGTCACGGTCCCGAGATGTTTCCTCGTAAATTCTCGTCTCGAGAGAATACAACAACGTCGAAAATATACGCGACAACGGGAGCCGCGTTATCTCTGCCTCGTGACTTCGGGTAGACCTCGCGCCGCCGATATCTTTTCACCAAAAAACCGTAATATCAGTGGCAATAAATTTTCGAAATCGTTTCAAACCAGAAGAAAAAGGAGTCAAGTTGTACCAGCAACGAAATCGACAAACCTCATCGTTTCGGCGTTTGTTAAATGTGAAGGGTTCCTATCTAGGTGTAATTAATTTTAACATTGAAGACGATACAAAAAGACTATCATTAATACATTTTTGAGGGGAAAAAATAGTTTTCTCATTGGTCGAAAGGCCTAATGAACGTACACAGTTGAGATGTGAGAGTGATAGGACCCTGTTGAGTCGGCGTCGATCTCTTCGCGAGGACGCCCAAGCCTGGCCGAGATCTCGACACCTCGACTACCCTTCCCGTAGTTCCGTTTCCGTTTCTGTTTCCGGAAATCGTCGCCAGTCCGCTCGTTCCGTTCGACGTGCTTCTGCTGGCTGTTTTGCTCTCGGGACTGACAGCATGCGCGACCTCAGGGAAGGCGAAGTTCGCGTCCTCGGACTCGAGTTTGATGTCCATCTTCCTCCTCTTCGAGTCCTCCTCACCGGCACCGTTCCAAGCCTGTTAAGCGTAACAATACCGATTAACATGGTGGGTTCGTCTGTGTGCGTGTAACACGTAACGTGACGCGACCAATTCAATGAATCAGATCGGACGGGTTCAACTACCTAATATGGAGAACGGCCCGTATCGTCGAATCAATGAAAGATCTCGTAGCGACGATTCGCATTTCATTTTCAGTTGTACGAAAGGAAAACGGTGATACAGAAACAAGAATCATTCTCGAACGATAGCTTTCGCTAAGGAATTCAGTGGTACAAGTCAGCGATTACTACTTTTCCGTTCATATGGTCTCGTATGTACTTTTAATAGTGTAGATAGTTCTGTGAAAGGGTGCCGGCCGTGTTAATAGCTATCTATCTATCTTACTCGACGCGTTTTATCTGACTAGGTTTTGCTTTCACGAGGCTGACCGATCGAAAGTTCATTTTAGCTACCGTGCAACGTTTCCTACTTAGTTACACTCGGTATCTGAAATCAGCTGGTGTATACATATACTTTGGGTCAATATCAAGCGCTTACACCGGCTCATAATATTTACCCAATTATCACGAGGATGTATCGCGGCCGCGGCCGTGTATACGTAGCCAAGTTATTAAGACGTTTAATCTGAAAGGAGCCGTGATGGCGATGTACGTACATCAGTACAGTATCGTACTATGTAAGTACACACGTAGGCACGTAAGTAAGTAGTAACCTCGGTGTTATCCATTATATCGCGTTCCGTTATGCAACACGTTCCCGGGGAACGCGAGTTATCGTTGCACGTATCGATATCAATCAAAGCTGGCCGTAGAGCGCGCGAGTATATTTGTGCTACGCGATAATACAGAACGGAATGAAATAAAAAATGAGCAAATCCGAGGCGGGGGGAAAAAAGAAGTGGCGCTTAGCTTCTTCTTTCGAATATCTCTCTGAGATAGCGCCCCGTTTCCGGTAGTATCACAATGTTTCTTTTTTTGCTAGGACGTTGACTGGATCGCCGCGTCCAGTACGCGGATAAAAATAATGCTCAGACGAACGCCACTTCTTCTTCTTCTTCTTCTTCTTCTTCTTCTTCTTCCTCTCACGCCTCGCCGTTACGCTGCTGATACTCTCCGTCAAGAGTAATAATAACGACTTGATAATCGTGCGAACGTAATGCCGCTTCGTCGATTTTAATCGACGACGATACTGTAATCGACTCTCAGTACCGCGGTGTGCAAATAAACTGATATTTCTTTAACACCTTTATACATATTAAATTTTTTTTCTCAATCGTTATAATCAATCGCATGTTTCATATCAGACTTCCTACGTACAGTGGCTAATGTAAGAATTAGGGCACTTCCCAAGAGTAGAGTTGACCATAATCAAGGAACAATGTAATGATAAAAAGGAAAATTCTAGGTTGAATTATAAACTATCTACAATAATCTTAGTTCTGTGTCTTCTTTCAAGTGGGAGTTATTAGCTAATCTAAATCTCGCTTTACAATGATCGAACTGATTCATTCCTATATTATCAATTACAATTCAAGTCTTGATAGCAGAATTACTGAGAAGATCAAAACAGCTAGGTTTTAATGAAATTCTTTTATACCAACGTTATTTAGTACAGTATTTGAGTTACATACCAATTCTCTAGATCTTATATCGTATTCTATGACTCCACTTCTTGACTCATACCTGTAAACTTTGTCCTATCTTCGAACTGTGTCCTAGCTGAATCATCACTGAACCTCGTCCTCGCTAACATCATCCTCAACCTTTAACCTTGATATTCCTACCCTTACAAATCCTGATGCTCACCAATCGAATGGCCTCGGAAATTGAATTAAAAGTTATACGTACGTTTGCTGTGCTGAGATGTTGTTGACGTTCTTCGAAGCCGAGCCCGGAGTCGTTCGAGTTGTCGCAAACGTCCTGTGCCGAGCTGGCCCTCGACCCGTTTTCATCCGAGTTTCGTAAGGACGCCAACGGTATTCTCGACTGCTGCGGCTGCTGCTGTGCTTGGGGCGGTTGTTGTTGCTGCAGTTGCTGTCGTTGCTGGTGACTAATCCTCCTCGAGGCGGAATGCGCGCGGTTACTCGACGTCACGGTGCTCCTTTGAACCGAGTTTGTCACCGTCGACGACGATCTACCTCCTGCATTGTTACCTGTAAACAAAACCAAGTCCCTTTAATATATTCGTACATAAAATCTACTCTGTAGCGAATTCTCTCTGGTCTATCAATTTACAAATTTGTCTGACGCCGTCTTAAATGGATTGTATCGGCGATTGAAAAAATGTCGCGGATCGTAAAAAGCTTTGCATATTTATGATTCCGGATTATTTCGTCACGGACCAGACCGAACGGACCCGTTCGCGGGAAGGTGAAAAGTAAAACCGACGCCCAGACGCTGCGACTGCGAATTGTATCGGGGAAATAAATCGAATTCGGACAATGACCATCTCGAGTCGAAGTTCAAGGCTCGCGCATCAAAGTGCAACAATAATGCCCGGCGTCATCGCGCTGTCTCCCAAAGCTTTCGAAGGCCGGACGGGCACACGGATTATATAATTCATTAAAAGACATTATAATTAGATATGTATTTTTAAAACGTCTTCAGACTCGATTTGAGAAACGGGAAAAAGACGCTATTTACACATTTCGATTAATTCGATGGTTCTGTAGGAATTTCTGAACTGAGCGAACGCGATTTTCCTCCCCGGAGGAAATGCGAAAATCGCGGCGGTTTTTAGCAGACGTAGCCAAGCCAGCCGGCGGCCAGTCGTGATTTTCATTTTTCCATCGTCGGTTCAGTCAGACATCGAACCGTTCAAAGTCCATCAGAGATCAACGATTGTACGAGCTGTTCTCTTAGCGCGCAGGGTAAAAAGACGGGCTTATCTCGTTTACGATTAACCAGAATACGCGTTGATCAACAAATGGGAACGAACAATAAGCTCGTATCGGGGATTGATTTTGATACTTTTTTCCTCGCTGCCTGAGTCGCATCTGTCCGCAGTGGTTTTTGACAGATCGGAAACGTGGAGGAATTACTCGCGAAATAACGTTATCTTTTATAAAGAGAAATCGACTGATTTCGAAACGGTGGAGGCATGCGATACGCTCGGTATTATTTTCGGCAACTGTTTTATTTGCGCAGGAACGAACAGTCGATCGTGTTACCATTGTTGCGGAATGCACGAAAATTGGCCCGTGCGAAAACGATGTGGCGCAGTTCGGGTATAGTGTGACAACCGTTCTACGTTTCGGCAAAGGTGTCGGATGGTGTCACTGAATCTATTTCCGCTGATAACGTGCCACGATTAAATTCCGACGCATTTCCCATAAGCAACGGTCGTTTGTTATATACAATGGTCAGCAAACCGTGTTATAGATTGTTGAATTTGAACAAAGAACGAGGATCAATAACCGGCGTGGAAAATGATTGACAAACAGCCTCCTCCGGAGTCGAAATAATGATTATCCTCACGAGCGAGGCGTGTTGTTCGCGATACGAGTAAAGCCTTGGCAGATAAAACCGACGGGAAACCGTGTAGGAATGAGAAAAAGGGGGATGGGAATATACGTACGTATCAAGAAACACTGAAGAGAGAGGGAGTGTGTGTGTGTGAATTGAAAGAAAGAGAAACAGTCGGGTCTATCTATAGAAGCTCGTCTCTCGGATAGGATAATTGCGTGGGGGGTGGAAGTTGCAATCGCGCATGCAACTGGTGGTAAAAGGGGTCGTTCCTTCCGGCCCACCCCTCCGAGGCCGGCGAACGAGGGGGTGGGCAGATGCCGGGGACGTAATGGCCACGTGCACAAACGCTTGTAAAGGTGCATATCCGTGTGATCGTCGAGGAAAATCACGGGACGATGTCAACGACCCGCGACGATCTTCGCATCCTCGTTTTCAGCATCGACGTTCCTGCCCGGCGTCGTCGACGCCTCGTTATTTCGCTTTTAAACCATCCGTCGTGACGCTCGGAAAATCGACCACCGTGTTGCACCGGATTTAATTACTCCCGCGATTATAATTACGCCGCTCCGAAAATTGCTGTTTCACTCAATAGTTAACACATCGCTAAGTATTTTTCTTCATAATATTACGTTATTAATCATTTATTCATGTTTGCCAATTGTATTAAAAAATTTACGATCGTTTCATCCTAACTCGTATAACGAGTCCAGAATTGCTTAAGAGAATTATGAAGAATAAATACATAGGTGATGAAAGTATAGTTCAAGTATCAGAGATCGCAATTATTCTTCTGTTCGATTCTGTTAAATTTCCTGGTATGTGCCATTGCATTCTCGGTTTTCAAAACTATATGTACCGAGCAGTTAGAACAATTGCAGTCATATTAAGCTTGCTATGTAAATGATATTTTAGTAGATTTTCGAGTTTAGTCCCACTCCCAAAACGCGATTCCCGCAGAGAACAGAAATGAGAATCAGTGAACAGGGTTTCGATTTCAGGAGAGTCCTTCGAACGATCTTATCATGACCCTTCAACGAAGAGAGACCCCTTCGTCTTCACGATATCGATTTAAAAAATGAAATTTTTCACAGTAATAACGTTCATTTTTACGTCCTGTACATTTCTATTCATTGTACATAATTCAAGTACAACGATTATTGAATCGGACAGTTCATGTTTCCTGCACGTGCAGTTTCCCTACGCATAAGATCCGCCGTACGGTGAACAGTCGCCCGGCTAAGGGTCGCAGCGAAGTTTATCGATCCCTATAAATTTTTTATTTCACGCCAACAGAGAGACGGTATTCTTTTCCATTCGGAATTAGGCCTCCTACCAGTAGCGGCGGTGTATTTACGTCTCCGCGGTTCGTCCTCGAACTCGTGGAAGCTCCGTACATTTGCAAGCGTACTCTTGATAACAGGATCGATAAACATCGTTACTATTACACGGTAAACAGAGCGTCGGACCGCGCGCTAACTATGACGCCTCTCGAGTCTCAAGGATATTGTTACCTGCACCGATCGATCCTCCTCTCCTCGATCCTTATCACGATCGTACGAGCCGTTCGGTATACCTCATTTCCTCGTTAAGTAGAATAATAAGAATAATTCCTACCATCACTGATTCCGTTTACAATTTCTATCCTGCTACGCTGGCTCATCTCTGATTTTCACCTCGCGTAAGCTTCACGAATTTCTTTATTAACGTTATTAAACCCGTAAATGTTCGATTCGATGTAATCACTCTCATATTTATCCCTCAATTAATTCATGCCCTCGCGGTCGCAAATTTCTTAAGGATGTATTGGCTATACAGTGAATCCCAAAAATTTATGCACGTTAGAAACGCATTTTTTAAAAAGAAATCAGACGTCGGAAGAAGATTGCTAATAATAAACAACAAAAAAAAAATTTTCGATTTTTCCAAGATTTTTCCAAGGGGTACCCCTTCAATTTCTTCCAAATTTTCGTTTTTGGCCAATAACTCCCAAACCGTTGGACATACGGAAAAATTGTATATGACCTTTCTTGTAGAGGACGACGAGATCTACAATTTCTGTATAAAAGTTTCTTGCTAGCGTCTATAGTTAACGAGTTATTTGCAAAAAACTGTTTTTTGTTTTTCGTTAATAACTCGTAAACTATTAATGCTAGCGAAGACTTTTTGTACAGGAATTTTAGATCTCATCGAACTCTACAAGAAAGGTCCTATGTAATTTTCCCGTATCTCCAAGGGTTTAGGAGTTATTGAGGAAAAACGAAAATTTTTTCCAAAAGTTCGCCGTTTCGACGCTGGGATGGTCGGATTTTGTCAACATCAATAAAATGCCAAATAATCATACGTAACTCGTTAAATATCGAAGTTAGAAGGAAAACAACTTTTATTTCAAGCATTTTTCATTTTAATTTCATTTTTAATTATCATTTTTTCTAAAAGCTCATCGGTTCAAATATTGCACACAGCTTTTTGTTACATACCTTAAACTTTTAACAGAGATATGACAGCTCACACAATCTTAATTGCCACATCAACAATTTACTGATCAGAAACGTATATCTACTTACTTTAAAAATATATTAACAGGAATGGTAGGTTCTTTTCACGGTACGACTTCATGAATAATACGTGTTCGCGTTATTTCGTGGCCTGAGTTATTTCACCGGTTTAATCACAAGTTAAACAAGTTACTGATGGATCATCGGTCTAGAAGTAGCGATAGTGTGATAAGGGAAACAAGCTTCTCGCCGATTTTTCAAACATCACAAACAGATAAAACTCTATTCGTCACTAGAGATATGTATGTAGATATAATATAGTGACGACAGTTTAGCCGTTTCAACATGCCTAAGTGGCCAGATCGATATCATACTTAGTTAATTGGCTAGAAATAAAAGAGCCGAACGATTTCTACTTAGTACAGTATTTTATGCAGAATAATATTTATTTTTATTCGCACATAAAAGCATACATAAATATTTAATAGTGAATAGTAATCTTTGAACAAATGTTTACCAAGTGAATCGAACAACAACAGCTCGTTTTATCATTTCTTTATCTAATTATACAGATAAACATTTTTCTTGGAATCTTAACTAATTGACGAGCATTCCTACAGATCTCGTCGCCTGATCGTCCAACAGTTTAAAAACGTTTAGTAGCAGGCGATGCTACTGGGACGATCCTCCGCACGCCTAATGACACCACCGATAGCCTACTTAAGAGCCAGCGATAAGCTCGTAAAATCCGCGAGGTCACGACTCCGCTGTGCTACGGACGTTGCCGAACGAGAAACAAGCGAAATCGTCGGGAGAACGAAAGGACGCCGTTCGAATGTACGAAAGGAACCACTTTCGAATCTCGCGGATTAAGAAACTCGTAGAATCAAATGAAGCTTAAGAAATGAGAGGCGCTTGTTTCGAAATCAATTCTTTATTAAGAACGATAAATCTTATAATCTGATTTCTACGCACTGTTCCATTTTATGAAGTCTCTAACAATATTCGGAGAGAATTAAATGACTAAAGAGTGAAATCATTGAATCTCACCTGATTCATGTAGTCGAAAGAAAAATATTAGAATCTTTTAAATCGCAGCATTTACCGGACCGATTGAAAGGTTCAGGAGGAGAGACTCTCATCGAGGGAGAGCAGCTGTGTCAACACGAAATAGCAACGAGTACCGCGAG